TGAGAAAATATCCCTTTGGAAATTGTAAACAAACCTGCCACGCACAAAAAATAAAACAAAAGGAAACTTGAACAATCTCTCCCAGCCTCTATGGGTTCATTACCAGGTGTAAACCAAAGACAAAGGAAGAAAGGAATGACATAACTGAATTCATTCTACCCTGTTCCTTTATCTCCTTTTCCTTTATTCCTCTACCCTTGTTGATGAACCCACTCAGGATCACAATAATGCAACTGTCAACTGCTCATTCTTTCTTTCAATAGTAGGTTTGTTTACCATTTCATGGATTGTTCGAGATGTTTTTTATTTAAGCCCTCAAGACCAGTTTCTGCTTAAAACACTCGCACAAGCAAGCAGAAAACATTCTCCGCCTCTCTTGTTAACACTCTTGGGCTGCAAGTTGAACACTGCAGTCTGTATCCCCTCAAAGTCTGTGTCCTCTCTGTAGTGCTGGTTCTAGTTTGTGCTCTTAGCTCCCCAAAATAGAAATTCTGCAACCAACTAGGCTGTAGTCAGGTTCTGCTGCCCACAATCTGTACAACATTCATAAATCCACCCAGCGTCCAAAACAAATATCCCAAGGAAGGAATGGTCCATTTCTTGGTAAGTGGTCGCAGTTCCCTTCATGACATGCCACACAACTCAGCGAGTCTCACTGGTTAGTATAGATGCTGGCAGTTCTCTCAGACTCCAGACGCCTGACAGCTTTGATCTCTTTATAGCAAAGCTATAAAGAAATAAATAGGGGCCAGACACTGGAAAAACACGACTGTGAAACAACTACACATGGGAAGGTTCCCAGTTCAGGTCTGGAGACCTCACTGAGTATGCTGGGCACATGTGTGCCCATGATCTGGGGCTGGCTGAAGCTGAGTGGATGCGGCAGTGTCAAGACCCTACTGGGTCAAGACCCTGCTGTCTCTGTCTTTCACTCACAGAAGAATTAAATACGTCTAGAAATAAATAAATAGTCAAGATAAGCCAGGTGAATGTCTCCCCCTACTATCTGTCCACCTCCAATTCAACACATGCACTCATCTCTTAAGCAGGTACTCTCCAAAAGGAGTCTCTTTTTAGTTAACACATTTTTCTTGTTTCTAGGGTCTACTGCACAGTGTTTCATCCACCTTAGAAAAAATTCTCAATTTTAGCTCTGATATTTATATATTATAGGACACTTGAAAAAATAAAAATGCAAAAAAAAAATGAGGGAAGTACCCTGAAAAAATGAGGGTCTTTGGCCTTCTTAAAAGGCATTGCAAAGTAAGAGTTGTATTATCCATGTTCTACATACTCTTTTTATTTCTGGTTAAAATCACATGGACAGTTTATTTACAAAAGTAAGCAAATCCCACCACTTACGATACATTTGTAATAATGGCCAGGTTTCAACTTTTTGGATCTTCTTGGAACTTTACTATCCTCTCTGGTGCCAACACTCAATCTGTCTCTTTCTCTTTCATTTGGAGTTTCTGAATAATGTACGATTTTAGTACTCTGGGCACTAAAATGACAAAGACCTAGGTTTGTATGATGTCCCTTTCAAAAGTCCACTAGCTAAGCTATAAAATTTCAATCTATTTATGTAACAGAGGCTAAAGAGCAGAGATTGTGCCCAGGTTAGAAAGGCAAACAGATTGTTAGCAGCGAAATGCATATCACATAAGTTAGAAATCATCATTAAGACTATTTTCTTTCATTCTGAGCATAAAGAAAAGTAAAGATACCCCTGTGTTTGGAGAGCCAGACTTCTGGTCATGGGGAAATACAGCAGCTGAAGCACACGGATATGAATTCAGTGGGACATTCTGCACCCAACTGCAGGTCCCACAAGTTACATCTTCATCATCTGTATGAGCAGTGGCATCTACAATGGAACCAACCACAAAGGCTAAGGTGGTCCACCTTTGAAAACAGGTCACGGCTAAGCACAACCACACATTCCTGACCAACCAACCCTGAGACATGAAGTCTGAGAAAAGACTTCAGACTTGTGGCTCTGACTTATGACTTTATTTATACACAAAGTTTTAGAAATTAAAGTCTAATTTATAAGTGTAGTTACAAAATAAATTTAATTAAGTTGTGATACCTATCCATTTTATAAATTGTGTGTAGTAAGAAAAGAATCATATTTTGTAAATGCAGGATCAACTTAGAAATTTAGCATGGATGGTCACAGTGCCTACAGGACTTGGAATTCACCGAGCAGATAGCAACAAATTCTCACTAGTGTGCTTTATAAATGGGTTCTCATCATAATTTTACCAATGAGGTAGCTGGAGCTGAGGATAGTTGGTCACAGAGCTACTGAGATGCAGAGGCAGGAATTGAACAAAGATCTGTCTGGCTATAAAGTCTATTAAGTATCCATAGCCAATGGTAAACTCTAGGGTCCCATGACACAAATAAGAGGAAAAATAAATAAACCCATGAGAGTTCTCTCAGAAAGAAACACATCAGGAGAGAGAGAGAGAAAGTGGTAGAACAGTTGCACTAGTTAAGAAAATAACATTATAATAGACCCAAATGATAATAGATAGAATAAACAGAAATGAATTCAATATGAAAGAAAACACTAAAATAACATTTTGGAGCATGTGGAAAATAAAATTAACAAAGCAAGATTCATGGTAAAAAGAATATCCAAAATTTCAAAATGCTTTGTAAAAATACAAAAACAGACTGCATAGGAGATATGTCTTGACACATTGTGCAGGTGAACATTACAAACACCCAGAACTAGAAACCTATCTGTGTAAATGTCATCTTTTAGTTAAATCCTTGGTAAACTGTCCTCAAATACTAACACTCTAAAGTTCCTCAAGTGGGCTTTGACTGAGAGAGAACGGTACACAAATGCAGATAAAAGACGGGTGGTATTAGGTGGTGGCTCTTGAACCGTTCAGGATTTCAGATCAGGAAATGGCTGAATTCCAGGTAAGACCTCTTAGCTCTCTAGTTTATTCTTGCTCCCGGAGAAATGAGATTTCTTGCTAATTCTAGCTTTCTTGAATACCAGTCAATTGTAGGTGAGAATAGGTTCAAATTAGTTTTCCTTTTTTCTTCAGAAATCTGCCAGTATAGAAACAATCAGAAGAAATTTGACTTTATAAAGGCAATCAGAGGGCTGGTCCTATAGTCTGGTGGTTAAAAGAGTTAGATCCCACATGCCTGACCATAGTTCAAACCCCAACCCTGGTAACTTGTAAAACACGTTGGGTGTTGTATGCATGCATGCCCAGTCACAGAAATATTGAGAAATGGAAAGGGACTGCAATGTGACCACATCTCATTGGGGTGCTTTTTCCCTCTCTCTGTCTTTCAGGCAAGTGCATGTGCCCTCTGGCAATTAGAAAAAAAAAAAAAGAGAGAGAGACAGATAGGCAGCATGCATTAAAAAAGGCAATCAGAAGAAATTTGACTTTATAAAGGTAGAAAAGTAAGTTCTGGAAGAACAATAAGCATGAGAGAGCGAAGCTTTCTTGAATGTTTATAGTTTTGATTTTTATAACATATAGTGAACTTTGTCTTTGTGCCAGCCTAAAGTGCTGGCTCTAGGAATTCAAAGTCAAAAACGACATGAGGGCACTTTCAGGAATCCACCTATTAGAGGAGCGAGCAAAGCAGTTGGCTGTTATGAAAATATAGACTTCTCTATATCTAGCAAACTTACTCCACTGATTGAAGGAATAAAAGAGGCAAAGAGAGCAAATGAACAGTAACAGGAGAGTTTAACTATTGTAAGATTAAGGAAGACACAGGAAGAGTAAGAATCAATTGGGCAGTAAATTGTGGGAGCCGCAGAAGACAGTCCCCTTCGCGCTCTGAGTGATACAGAAAAGGAAGCCACACGGGAGGATCAATTCTCAATTTTCTGCAGCTCTGCATAGAGGGTGTGAGAGAAGAAGGCAAGAGTAGCAGAAATACCTTGGTGCCAGCAACCACATTTAATTTTATTTGAGCTAGATTTTCGTGCAGACTTGGAAGACAGGCTCGTTGGTAGGTATGAATCAAGTACTAGGAAAAAATAAAAGACAAAGAATTTTAGGCCAGCATATTTCAGCAAATATTTATTGAGCATCTAAGTAAATAGGAGATCCTGTTCTGGGACAGTAAGCCTTGATCCCTGCCCTTAGGCAACTCACCATCTCTGACAAATGTAAATAATTTGCTTGTGATACTATTCCCGCCCCCGCCCCCAAATATCTTAATTAAGATGTACATTAATCTTTAACATACAAAGAAGTAAGGGGGAAGAAGGGAAAACCAGCAGCACTTGGTGACTAACAGAATGTGGGGGTGAGGGTGACGGAAAGGGATGTCAGGAAACCATGAGTCTACATCAGTAAATGTAACTAATAGCAATTAGTGAGTTAATAAATATAATCAAAACGAGACATTTGGCTATTTAAACATTCAAGTCACCACACTTCCACCTTAAGTGATACATTTTGGGGGAACTAAGCAGAAATTAAACCACTAGATTTTTAGCACAATGGTGAAAAAAAAAGTGACTTAATTCCCCTAGGGCAAAGAAATGATGAATCTGAACAGAAAAACATGGACATCAGAGGGTGGGGTAGGTTGTGTAAGGGACAATTTAAAATCTTCAAGTTCTAAAACAGCATAGGAAGTTCAAAATAATGCATGTATGGTAACCTTCTTCAGGAAAACAGACAATTTATCAACTGAAGGTTGATAGCATAAGCAACTAGAAACAGATTATGACCTGTGGATAATTTAACCACAAATACTTTAAATGCCCCAAGTAAGAGAGGTGGAGGTAGAACCCAAATAAGCTGGAAATAGTGACCACTATTTCTAGCCAAGAAATTACAGAAAATTTGAGGAAGTCACAGTCACAATGACAAGAGAGCAGTTAAAGACATATTTTAGTTAACCAGGAAACCTTGGAATGGCATATAACTAACAGACAACTGCTAATAAATTTAAGTAAAGAACAAAAATAGTCTAAGTATTTTAGTGCATATGATAGAGACCCAGGAATCTGTAGTGACCAAGTAGAGAATTCTGATACATTGGGAAACCCACTGAACTTTGCAATTATCTGAGTCTCTGTTAAGGCTGAAAACTGGTTTGAACTTTATGTCTGATAAGGCTCCTCAAACTTTAACACCTTGAAAACTGACACCATCTTAATCTCCATTTATCTCCTTTTGAGTTTTGAATGCTAGTAAATGGCCCCACTAGTCTTTTCAAGCTAAAACTCTGAGATTCATAAAGTTGTCAGGCTTCCTCCTTTCCTGTAGCAGCACATTTAATTATGTACCACATTCTAGAAGACCTATGTCATGATCCACTTCCACTCATTCACCTCCAGTTCCCTGCCTTCCCAATCCACCATTCATTCATTCAGGTCTTCATATCACACACGAGCAACTCTTAAAACCTACTACTCAATCTTCCTTCCTCTAAGATCTATTCTAATTTAGTCAGTGTCCTTATCAATAGACATATACTATAAATCCCTTTTATGATTACGTATAATTACGCTTTCTTGCTCAAGAGTAAATTTCCCATTCCATAACTTGATATATACAACTCTTCTGGTCCCAGACCACGTCTCTAGCTCACTGCTAAGTAGTTTCCGACTCCTTGAACATTCTTGCATATTTCATCATCACAGGTCCTTGACTGGACTATCTACTGTTCATCCTCAAATTCCCCAAGAATCTAAACAGAAGTCTTTAGTTTAGGCTTTACCTACACAGACACATTGTGACTCTCACCCTGATATCATTATAACTCATGTTACACTTACACTACAAGTCTTCTATAGTAACCTTCATGAATGAACTTGGCCAGATCAATAGGCGGGCCTTAGAATATATTGAGAGAAAAAAACCTACAGCAACAATGGCATCTGGGCTGGTATTTTGTGTTACTATTAAGCAGGTCTATCCATTTCTCCTTCCAGCAGCTAAGTCAGTGCTAACAAGTATCAGCCTTATTTGTCCTGAACTTATCTGTACCATTTGTTTCTATTACTGAGCTTATTCAATTTAATTAATATTCCATAAAATGATAAAATATGGTGTAAAAAGGGTTACTCCTATGACAATTATGTTGAACTCTTCGAAAAGACTTGACAAAAAGCAAGTTGCTAAGAAACAAATTATAGTCAAATTATGTTCTGGAGAGACCAAATACAAAAGATTAAGAACATAAAAAACTAGAACTCTGTTCTAAGACTGTTTCACAAACATTTAAGTTCTCATTCTGCTTAAAAGAAACTGAAACTGGAAGCAGCACAGGATAAAAGTAGATGAAAATGATTTTTGCAAGAAAAACAGGGAACTCTAAGCACAGGACCCAGACTCAAAAATACAGGCTTGAGCCTACATCACAATACAGGCGAATGAGCATATTTACATTTCAAGTAAAATGAAGACGCTTAATTTTAAAAATGACTTTAAAAATTTAACCCGGATACTCCATTTTAAAAAAGATTCCCTGGTTAGGAAGACGATGATTAAAAACACAGAAATAAGTGTTAGTGAGGATGTGTAGCAATTAGAATGCGTGTACACTGCTGTTGGGAATATAAAATGGTACAGCTGCTATGGAAAACACTATGGAGATTCCTCAAAAATTTAAAAAAAGAACTATCATATGATCCAGCTATTCCACTTCTTGGTATTTATCAAAAAAAGAATTGAAATTGTGATCTCAAAAAGATATTTGCCTTCCCACATTCATTGCAGCATTATTCACAATAGCCAATAAGTGGAAGCAAACTAAATGTCCATTGACAGATGAATGGATTAAAAAATGTAATGTTTACAATGTAATGTTTCAAAAAATTCATCGAAAGGGAACCAGCAGTTAGCGTAATGGCTATGTCGCTGGACTCCCACGTAGTCGACCGCGGTTCGTGTCCCGGACCCGGTGGCTTAAAACTCACGCCGGGCGCGTGTGCGTGCGTGCCCAAGATCCCGGGAGGAGAATGGAGAAGGGATTGCGGCGTGACCATCCCCCCTGGGGGGTGATTTCTCGCTTTCTGTCTCTATGTCTCTCTCTGTCTGTCTGGCGAGCGCACGTGCCCTATAGTGAAAAAAAAAAAAAACCTCTCAAAAAAAATCATAGAAAGATGCATATTATGAAAAATTACATATGGACTTCAATTTTTTGCAATAAAATTAATTTGTACCTGGGAACCAGCAGTTAGCGTAATGGCTATGTCGCTGGACTCCCACGTAGTCGACCGCGGTTCGTGTCCCGGACCCGGTGGCTTAAAACTCACGCCGGGCGCGTGTGCGTGCGTGCCCAAGATCCCGGGAGGAGAATGGAGAAGGGATTGCGGCGTGACCATCCCCCCTGGGGGGTGATTTCTCGCTTTCTGTCTCTATGTCTCTCTCTGTCTGTCTGGCGAGCGCACGCGCCCTAAAGTGAAAAAAAAACTCTCCCCCCACAAAAGAATTTGTACTTTTATTTCACTTTTCTATAGATTGAAGTTCCTACACACAGATACACACACACACAATGGAAGGAAATCTGGTCAATGCAATAACATGGATGAATCTTTAAAACATGCTAAGTGAAATAAATAAGCTAGACACAGGCTAAAAACTGCATGATTCCACTTATATGAACCCAAAGTAGCCAAACTCATAGAAGCAGATCACAGAACAGGGGTTGTCAGAGGACAGGAAAAGTAGTAATTGGGAGTTGTTGTCCAATGGGTTTTAGTCATGTAGGATGATAGATTTCTAGAGATCTGCTATACAACACTATACACAGAGTTAGCAATACTATACTGTATGCTTCAGAATTTAAGAGCACAGAGTTCATATTATGTGTGTTTTTTCAACCACACCCTTTACCCAAGATAACCAGTTCTTTATAAACGTAAGAAATTTTAATTATCATCATAATTACTTAGTTATAGTACTTAAAATGTTTACTGGTTTGAATTTATGAAGACCTGTGGCTATGAAGACACATAAGGTCTTGCTTCTGTTGATCTAAAATGTAACACAAGGGCTACAGGGTGAGGATTCTTGTTTATTTCATTGATGTACTCCCAAATGCTTAAAAGTGCCTGAAAAAATACTTAAGAAAATGTTTTCTTGGGACCAGCAGTTAGCATAATGGCTATGTCACTAGACTTCCACGTATTCGACCGCGGTTCGAGCCCCGGACCTGGTGGCTTAAACTCACGCCAGGTGCGTGAGCGTGCATGCTCAAGATCCCAAGAAGAGAATGGAGGAGAAGGGATTGCAGTGTGGCCATCCCCCCTGGGGGGTGATTTCCTGCTTTCTGTCTCTCTCTGTCTGTCTGGCGAGCGCACGCGCCCTATTGCAAAAAACCTCTCCAAAAAAAAAAAAAAAAAAAAAAAAAAAAAAAAATGTTTTCTGGATTGAATGGTAGACAGCATTCTGAACACCAGATACATACTCATATATTGTTTTAAAATAATAAATAAAATAGTCACTAAAAGACTATATAGAGTGGTTAAAATGATTCACCAACTCAAGAAGTCTACTTATGTAAAAAGATTTCTCAAACTCTACCTGAATTCCTTCAAACCTTGGTTTGACTCTTCTTTTTCAAGATACCTGTTGTTCACTATGTGCTATGAACTCTGAGAAAAATTAGACATTCAGAACAACAAAAACTACAAACCACCAAAGTTGTATAACTTTGCAAATATTTCCTTTGAAGAGCCTCAAAAATGTTCTCTTGCTATGGACCAGTCCAAAAAGAAAACTATTAGAAACGAAGCTATTAAAGCTCAAAGCCTTTCAACTCCTTCTGGATAGTGTAGGGGCACATAAATCTCTAGAGGCGCCGCATTACTTTGTTTCCTTCTTTTGATTATGCCTTGAAAATCTGCAGGCCAAGGACTCTGGCAGCTCCTCATCTTCTATCATCAGTGGAGGTCTCTGGCCTGGATGCACAAGATTATGATACAATAGCCAGGGGGACAATGGACACTGGATGACTAAATATAGGAATTCTGGGCTTGGTTGCCATGGAGGCAAACGGAAAAACAA